GGTTACCATATTTAGTGCCTCCGAAAGGAGGACACTCCACGGGGCCCCGGCCCCAGCCCCGCCCATGCCCACGCCCCAACCCCGAGCCCCTGGTCCGGCCCGGCCCCCGAGCCCCCGGCACCGCACCGCCGGCCCGGCCCGGCCCCGCTCCGATTTTCCCGGACATGTCCGGCTTTTTGGGATTTCCCCCCGGACGGGGATTTGGAGCCCCAAAAGCCGGACATGTCCGGGAAAATCCGGACGTATGGTAACCCTACCGGAGGAGGAGCTGGGGTGGGGGGGGCGTGCCCAGAGGAGGAGCCAAAGGGGGGGTGCCTTTTTTATGTTTGCTCTCCCTCCTCTTAGAAGCTGGCTACGCCACTGGTCCTTCCGCCGAAGTGCCCTGAAGACCCGCGGCGGGGGCCCTTCCGCCCTGGGACCTGCCACCGAAGTGCCCTGAAGACCTCTGGGCGGCCCTGCTTGTTCTGTTGTGTATTGCTTTGTATTGTACTCACTGGTGCCTTTAGATTGTAGGTGATTGGGGCCAGGATTTTCCTCCAAATCGCCCTGTCTCCTTGATGAGAACTGGGCAGATCTGGAGATGGGGCACAGGAGGCGGGAATGCCAAGTCCAAGGTACCTACGTATTATGGTAATGAGTGCAATGATAATCTGTACATTAGTCCCTGATAACCAGAAACTTCTATGCTCAAACTCTGTTCACTTTTTTTTTTTAACATCTTAATAAAATTTGTAGACATTAAGAACCTACATAGATAGATTCTGCCCTTCTGCTGACCTGCACAACTTCTTCCATGGGGGGGGGGTCCCCCTCTGAGGAATGAGATGTATGCTTGGGACAGGGAGGGGGTGGAATGCTACTCAATCACATTAGTTTTTCTCCACCTAGGTTAGACACAGGGCCGGCTCCAGGCACCAGCTTACCAAGCAAGTGCTTGGGGCAGCCACTCCGGAGAGGGGCGGCACGTCCATCTGTTTGGCGGCAATTCGGCGGTGGGTCCCTCACTCCTGCTCGGAGCGAAGGACCTCCCGCTGAATTGCCGCCGCAGATCGCGATCGCGGCTTTTTTTGTTTTGTTTGGATGCTTGGGGCGGCCAAAACCCTGGAGCTGGCCCTGGTTAGACAGTTTCCTCCTCTGTGCTCTGAAACACCCCGAAGGAGCATTCTGGGGTTGGCCACTAGGCAAGGGGATTCTTTGGCAAAACACGGCTCTTACAGAAGCCGTGTTATCAGGGAGCTGGAAAAGAGTCCAGAGGTATGGGGCTTCCACACAGATCACCCTCGGCTCCAATGATGCCTATAGGAGCCACATGTTTTGGTGGTTGAACTCCTTGGCCATTTCTCAAGGAAGACATCCCCCACTACAAGAGCCATCCGGGGAACTTGTAGAATTTCCTATCCTCTACACGGACATGGCATGCTCTACACACATGATGGCCTGCCCATCTGTTATTTGTTTGACACATTGTATGGCGTCATGAAACTTTACAGTATTATTATAAAGGCATTGACTGACACTCCATAGAGATTTTTCTTTACAAGCCCCATTTGCATCCTGCCTGTAATTTATGTCTGCAGCAACCAATTTTTTTCAAATTGGCATGTTTGAAATAGATGAGGAATAGAATTTTTCTAGAAGACTTTTTTAAAGTTTAGGAATAAAGGCTTAAGTTGTTGGCTAATAAACCTTCCTGTATTTGAAAAGTATTCCTTGTGATTCATGATTTATTGATCCATATGTTTCATCCCAGCAAGTATGTCACAAACATTTCCACACACACAAGCAGAGGCTATTATTCCTATCAATTGTTACTGACGGGAAAAATTATTACAACTTCATTGTTATGGACTGGATCGCTGTCAGCTGCATGGTGATTAACAATTTACATATCCCACAATTAAAGTTTTCATTACCAAGCAATTAGAACTTAACATTTTACGTGCTAGGCAATCAGCTGCTTTCCAGAACTGTCAGGAGTGGAGATGGCTGAGCTGGGTCATGGAGGATCACTGAGCTAGGAATGGAGGATGGAAAGGGGACCAGGGAGAGGTGGAGGCTTTAAGTTCTGATGTTCAGTCACCTTTGGCAGCTTGCAGACCTATTAAGGTCCAGTGAGCGCAGCTCCATTCCTGCAGACCTTACAGTGGAAAGAGGGTAGACTCGGGATAGGGCACAGAGGGAACCAAGGAAAAGGGCTAGTGAAAGTGGAGTTGGCTGGGGAGTCTGGACTGGTATTGGGCCAGGGAATAAGGACTATCTAGGGAACCATTCTCAGGAGGTGGGGAGTTGGGGCTGACTCAAGAGCACAACCAGAGAACCAGTAAAATAATTATATCAGTGCCAGTAAAATCTCTGCATGCCTAGGTGAGAAAACTTTCAATCAACACTTAGGCTGTTGCCAGATGTTGCACAGATCCTCTCACTTGAAGCAGTGGGATAAACATGGTAATATAATAAGTCAGATGTTTACAAGAAACAAGAGAAATTCCAAAGTAAAAAACTCCACTCCATTACAGTTAAGATTGCTAAGCGCAGTTCCATGAAAACCCCCACAAACATTGAAAAGATGGAAATTACAAACTAAGGTTATAAAAACAATGTTGACAATGCTGACACCAAGCTTTACACCCAGTTAACACACACAGACTATTAAACTGGAACATTCTCAATGATCAGCAACTAAAAGGAAACAAAACATTTCGCTGAGCACACTTTCCCGCTTGGGGGGAGGATGAATGAGAGAATGAACCACACGTGACAGAGGTCAGTTACATCATTTTATGCACAACTGGAAGGCATTCAGACTTGATGGTAATGAGAGTGGTATAAGAACCTGCATGGAATAAAATAAAGCAAACAACTTTAACTTTGCCCCACAACAAAGCTCTCGTGATGACTACGAAGTGGCAAATGGTTCTTCAGTCTCTAGTCAACAAGGCCAGACCCTTGACAGCGCACTCAGTCAGTCAATAGGATGAAACCTTG